CTAGCAGTGTGAACTGTATGTATACCTTGATATTATGATGAAGAAAACCTAGTTGTGTGAACTGTATGTATACCTTGATATTATGATGAAGAAAACCTAGTAGTGTGAACTGTATGTATACCTTGATATTATGATGAAGAAAACCTAGCAGTCTGAACTTCATGTATACCTTGATATTATGATAAGACCGAATGTTGAGACACCTAGTATAATTCCTACACCCAGATAAGAGTTCAGCTCAACATAACGTTCAACTAAATCCTCGCCACGTAGGATTAAAATCTAAACAAAACATCAATAATAAAAAATTGAAACTTAAAAATGATTTCTGAAAAAAGTTTTTGGAAATTAAGTCCAAGAATTTTGTACTAAAAATCATCTGTTGCATAAAGTCTCTGAAACCCCAAACCAAGGTCTCTATTTTGTACTAAAAATCATCTGTTGCAAAAAGTCTCTGAAACCCAAAACCAAGGTCTCTATTTTTCTCAGCCCTTTTTACTTGTGATTAAATGAAATAATGAATTTTCTCTATGGTTCTTATTTCCAGGTTTTTCCCCAGGAATTCAATTTTTTAAATGTGATTAAATGAAATAATGAATTTTCTCTATGGTTCTTATTTCCAGGTTTTTCCCCAGGAATTCTATTTTTTAAATGTGATTAAATGAAATAATGAATTTTCTCTATGGTTCTCATTTCCAGGTTTTTCCCCAGGAATTCTATTTTTTTAAATGATGTGACGGGATAGGTATACTCCTAAAGTGACCAATTTAATAAAGGGAGTATATGCCCCTAAACTTATCAATGAAATAAAGGGAGTGTAAACCCCTAAGCTTACCAATGAAATAAAGGGAGAGTAAACCCCTGAACTTACCAATGAAATAAAGGAAGTGTATACCACTAAACCGAACAATGAAATATAGGGAATGTATAACCCTAAACTTACCAATGCAATAAAGGGAGTGTACACCCCTAAACTTACCAACAAAATAAAGGGAATGTATGTCCCTAAATTTACCAATTTAATAAAGTGAGTGTATGCCCCTAAACTTACTAATTTAATGAAGGGAGTATATACCCCTAATCTTACAAATGTAATAAAGGGAGTGTAAACCTTTAAACTTACTAATAAAATAAAGGGAGTGAATACTCCTAATCTTACCAATGTAATAAAGGGAGTGTATGCCCCTGCACTGGTGAGAATGGTTGAGAGTATAATGACTTGAAGACTGGAGACATGAAGAGTTGTAAAATCAAAATATGCAGGTTTATTGTCAATCTTACTCTTGTCTTTTCCTTTCTTCTTAGACATATCCTAAACAGATATTTTCAGACATTAGATTTTGACAACACATAAAAACTTGGACTACTTGTGACGCCATGATCAGATTGAACAAGAAATTGACCTGAGAGACACAAAGATATTGTTTGAATCAGAGCTGTGGTATTACAATACATGTAAAGGGGTTGAAAATAAAATAAAATAATTTTTTTTAATAAACTCTGCGAAATAGTCTATTTGTATTAGAAGAATATATCTTGGAACGGCTGGCTTTTAATCTAAAAGTTTTACTAAATTCTTGAAATGGCAAATATTTTAATTTAAAGTTTTATATTTGTAACCTTTAAATGAAGAATAGCTCGTCTCTGGGGATGATAAAGGCTTGCTATAAAACAAATATTCAATAAAAAGAATATTTTTTTTATTAATTCATAAAAATTTCAAATTTTATAAAAAAAAATTCTCTGGCTTGCTGCAAACAATTAGAGTAAAAGATAGTTAAGTCATAAAACTGAAAAACTTATCAAATTATTATTTTATGGTTTTGAATAGTTCCCTGATCTGTAAAACATTCCGAGAAAGAATAGACCACAAACTAATCCTAAACAAAAAATTTAGATGAATTTCTAAAATTTAAATCATCAAACACTTTTTTTATCGGATTTTCTTACTAATTTCGATGTAAATTGTATCGGTGTAGGTCGTGTAGGACTAAAAAGTTATCAATAGTATAGTATGTGTACATAAAGTTATCAATAGTATAGTATGTGTACATAAAGTTATCAATAGTATAGTATGTGTACATAAAGTGGCAAATAAGATTACATCTTACCATTTTCAAGGAACGTTATTTATAATTTGATAAAATAATGGATTATTTTTAAAAAACCGGCATAAGAATTCTTGTAGTGTGCGTATTGTTTTGAAATTGCATCAAAGTGAAAGTTATATGTATAATTATAATATTCTCTAACAATTGTATACATTTGTTTTGTGTCTTTTCTAAATGTTTAAAAGTAATACCCGTTATTATTTGAAGCCCAAACCTCCATCCGACATATCTAAATTATCAAGATAAAAAGTTATTAAATAATGGCCTTATTTATTTGAACAAATAAATGACATATAATGATGTCATTTCTTATTTAATAATTTGTAAATTTGAAGTTGTAAACTGTTTTGTTTATTGCAGGAGGCTAAAATTATGAAAAATTAGCTTCTCTTTGACAATATTATGAAATTAGAAGCTTAAAGGGACTGTTCAGGTAAGATGAAAGGGGGTGAATGGCAGTGCAGTATTTAGTCACGTGGCTCTATATGTATCACATGGCTAGAACTTCCCACAATGACCGTTTAGTATCTTGTCATAAGGCTTTGTCGACTAGATACATATATATGAGTTTTTAATATACCTTTGACACAGTTTTATATCAATTTCTCAAGACAGGGACATCAGATATAACTAATATTGGTCGCGATCAACTCCTAAAATGTTTAGGCTTCAGCCTATACCCCATTAACAGTCTCTTTAAAGCCTTTTAAGAGGAATCGAAAATTGACTTTAACGGCACGTATGTCTCGGCTTTTAGTTTCACTTGTATAGATGAGCATGTTTGACTTTTTTCATTTTGTTCTTTCAGCTCTCATGAACGACCCATTTCGTTTTTTTATCGTTAAAAAATTGATTTCATTAGCTTTTAAAATCATTTTCCATATTTTTCGTTCGTTTTCTTCCTAACTATCGTTCAGTAAAATCTTTAGTTCAATAAAACCGTTTGTGCAGTAAAAAACGATCGTTTATTTGAAATCTTGTGAAATATTCGATTATTCAGTTGAATACTATAGTTTTCTCAAGTTCGTTTAAACGATTTAAACTCGTTTATTTTGTTCGTTCAATAACCACGATGCCCATCTCTATTCTTTTGACTCTCTCGGCATTTTCAAATAAAAACGCAATTGTTTATAGCTTCAATTATTGGGAATAATTTGCAAAATTTCAATTATCTTTTTTTTTGCGTGAGATCTTCAATTTGGAAAATTTTGGTTCACTACAATAAATGCTAAAATTAGTCTCTTATTTAACCAATCTATTTTGACTGAACCGTTAAAAAATGTTTTGTAATTTATATATCTTTTTTTTTTGGGGGGGGGGGAGGATGCCAATCTAGGCTCAAAAAGGGTTAATATTTAATTTACTTACTCTATTAATATATCGATGATATTTGAAAACACAATAATTCCAAATCCTTGACCTAGAGAGGACAAGATCTCAACCAGTTCACGTTTCCTAATCAATTATTCTAATCAAGTATTTTAATTGATTATTATAATCAGTTATTTTAATAAACTATTCGAATCGATTATTCTAATCAATTATTCTAGTCGATTATTCTGATCAATTATTCTAATCAATTATTCTAATCAATTATTCTAATCAATTATTCTAATCAATTATTCTTATCAATTATTCTAATCAATTATTCTTATCAATTATTCTAATCAATTATTCTTATAAATTATTGTAATCAATCTAATCAATTATTATAATAAATTATTGTAATCAAATATTCATATCGTTCATTCTAATCAAATATTCTAATCAATTTTTGTTATTAATTGTTCTACTCAATCCTCCTAATCAAAAGAAAAAAATAGAAAAAAATTAAAACTTAATCAATAATAAAATATTCATCATCAACATTGTTTAAATATTTATTGTTCGTTCGATAAAATAAATTAATCAAATTTGATGAAGAAAAAAATGTGTTTGAAATTTCAAAAATCAGAAATTCAGATTTTTAACTAATAATAAACTACATCAGTAAATCAATTTTGAATAATTGTAAACGTAGTCCAGCAAGCTAAATTCTTTATTAAACAATAAATCTTTAAAGAAAAAAGTTTATTCTTATTTTATGAGAATTATTTAAATAATATTTTTAGAAGAATAATAGATATGTTTACTTACCTTTTAAAATATTGACTTAACATAAGAACACTTGTTTCCCTTACTAGACCACACCCAATACCGAATATTATTCCGTAGCTAAACAATATTTTAAACACAATATTGCAGCATGTCTGATTCAAAGGGTACTATTGTGCATCAGACGTAGCACTCCAAATATAGAAGGTACACTGGGAAATGCGTCTTGTTTAGTCTTTGTGCAAAAATACAAAACAAATATATCTATAGCAATTTATTATATTAATTTTATTAGAAAAAAAGAATCTTAAAAGAATGTATTAAAACGAGTTAAAAGAGATGGCATAGATGGCATATCCGATAAACAACGGCACTTTAAATTGGAGTTTTTAGAATTTTAATCAACAAACAATTATTTTCACTAAAATGAGGACCAAAAAAGGAAGTGAGGTTTAGCCACAGAATCATATTTTAAATTTCAATTATATCCAAGCAACTTGATACTGTAATATATTTCAAACTTAGATTATTTGATCTAACAAAATTCATATTCTGAAATCAAAGGTCTTCGACATTGAATTGCAATAAAAAATCAGAGTTTGTGGCAAAGACTCACTTCCTTTGTTAAATGGGAGATTGTGGTTGGGGGGGGGGGGAATATGTTATGATTTACCTTAAAAGTACTTGATGTAGCTGTGTAGCAAATGAAGCGAATAAAAGTGCAAGGGACATGACTAAACCTCCCATAACAGCCGTTAAACGAGTGGATTTACGTCTAAAAATACAAATTCATATTTAGATATTTCAAACATTCCATAACATTTTTGGAATTACCGTACACGTACAGGGGTTTACAACGAAATGTGTAAATCGTTTCGCAAAAATTTAATTGAAAATTCGTAGAAAAAAAAGCGAAAAAGTTTGCAATTTTTCTCATATTTCTTCAGGAAATTATGCATTGTTTTCGCGAACAAATTTGCGAAATACGAATGAAAATTTTCGCGAAATTTCGCAATTTTGCAAAAGTTTTCGCATGCTGGAAGCCCTGTAATTAATGTATGGGAAAAGAAACAGAGAGAAAAGACTGAGAGAAAAAGAAATGTTATGACTGCGACGAATTTGATGAATTTAACAATTTGAAAAATGTTTTCCCGACTTCAACTTGTCGTTTCTTGTTGTATTATTGTATACACACATAATCTAACAGAACATGAAACAGACACACTGTCTCAAATACACTCAGATAAACATAATGAAAGAAACTGTTTCCTAATATAAACCGACTTTTTAAGATTAGCATCAGATAAAGTTAATGTTTAGTGGGAAATAAAAAATGGATGCTGAGTGCTAGCATAAAGGTAACCTGTTTTTTATATTTAAAATGTATAAATAATATTCTATAACATAATAAGAACATTTAGTGATTTACAAAAAAAAATCTTAAGTTATATAATATACTAGCTGAACGGCCCGGCTTTGCCCGTGGAATTAAATAAAACAAATTGAGAAAACAAATTTTATTTTCGAAAAAAAAATAATTTTTGAAAAACACAAATTTTAGAAATTGTTTGGCCTATGTTACCCCCGGCCCCAGGGTACATATGGGTTCCCTCAACAGCCCATTCGGTCCAGCCGTTTGGCCGCCTATAGGGAACAGATATGCGAATATCTTGTCTTATTTTATTGAATAATGGAAATTATACATTCCTTTCCTTACCCTCATATTTATATATATTGGTATATATACATTCCTTACCTTTTTATTAATATATGTATTAGTATTTACACTTTCAATATTGCCGTCCCATCTTGCAAAATATATGCACGCGACAATGTGAACATTATGCCTCGAATAGACATTTTAAGGCCTTTTAAATGTTTTGACAAAGAAAGGAACAAGTTTACAGTTCCAGGAAATTATGCATATAAAGAAACAGATAGTATTAATTTACTACAGTCTTCTCTGAAGTCTCATGTTTTGTGAGTAGCCCCTATATAATTTGAGTTTGATAAAAGTCATATAAACAATTCAATGCTGAAAAAAAGGGTGTCCTAAATTATTTCTTTTATATCTATTACTAAATAGAAACATTGTCCTAAATTATTTCTTTTAGTTTTTAAGTTAGTAACTAACCTACAAAATGCAACTATAACTGGAGATAACCCGAAGCTGACTGCTATGCATCCTGTTCCAATAAACCCTGAAAATCAAAAGCTTTTTTAAATTGTAACTTATTTTAAACAATTAATGCAAAATTAAGTCAAAATAATAAGTTTTAAGAATTTGAAAAAAATTCCGATGAGAAAAAATTAGTATTCCATATTGTAAAAAAGAAATTACATTGCTTGGCTTTTTAGATAAAATGTTGCTTTTTTATAAAAACTCTAATCACTTTTTTCCTTGCAACATTGTGTTGTAGATATTGGATATTTCAATTTTCAAACTAGCAATTAATTTTGTGTGATCAAATAATAAAAGTTTGAAATATCAAAGGTTTACACTATCAGGTTGCAAAGATAAATGAATTACAAATTTTGTGGTCTTGTGAAAGAATCACGTCGATCTTTTTGGTTTTCATGGAAAGGAACTGAACACCCACCAGTCACCATGAACTCTAATTTTCCCCCTAAATCTTTGCAACCTAACAATTCAAACCTTTATTATTTTAGGTTTAGACTAAGGTCTTAGCAGTCAACCACAGTTGAAATATCAAAGGTCTGCGATATCTGGTTGCAAAGAAAGAGGACCGGATCAGAAAATATGATTTTTAGAAATTTTTTTAATCGGATTGTATTGTAACAAAATCCTTTTTTAGAAAATAAAGGGACTGTAAGCGTAATTTCAAGTGACCCTCCTAGCAAAGATGGCACCGCAAAGTTTTGTCTGATCAAGTATGAATTATATTTCCATGTTTTTGTTTTCCTTAAACCATTTATTTTTATTGGACGTTTCCCTGCAAAAGTGGGATTTGCGCATTTCTTGCTTATAATAAGCACTGGAGAAATTATCAAAATTTAACACTTTTTGAATCAAAACAACGACGTTCTATATCAGATTAAGGTTTTAATGACATCGTTGTATCGAACATTGCCATTATTGCCTTGAGGGTCACTTGAAAATATGCCAACAGTTCTTTTTTCGTTTAAGATTAAATTTTTTATTCTTTTACCTGTAAATATTATATTTTCTGTTGCAAATATCTTTAGAATACGTAAATACAGAACTCCAAAACTAAAATATATTTCATTATTGTTTAATTTTAAAAAAATAAAAAATAAACCATTTTAAATATAAAGATCAAGACTATTCCAAAAAATGAAAGAATCTATCTTTTTAACATGACCCCTAGAGAAGTTAGTTTTGGTCAGGTAAAATATTGACAAAAGCAATAAACTCTAGGTTTAGCTATTTTTACATGTTTGCAAGAAAAGTAACAATACTAAGTTTAAAGCTTAACATATGTTATGTTATATTTCATAGTTATTATTGAATCTTTAAGGAACCGAGTTTTTGCCACAAACTCTGATTTTCTCATCCCTATATCTTTGCAACCCAATTTGATATTTTGAATTATATATTCTGTAAGATCAAACATTCAAGTTTAAACATATTTGGTTTACACCATCAGATTGCAAAAGATATAGAGATTAGAAAATCTGAGTTCCTTTCCAACCAAGAAATTTCACACCTTTTTTAAAAACTATCACCCCCTCCCCCCATTCCGACTCTTTAAATGCTTCCCATCATTCCACCTTGCAAAATATCATTACTCTCCCCTCCCCCCCCCCATTCTCTAAACAATTTATCTTAAAATATATAGACTTAAACATCATCTATAGTTAACACACAGACAGACGGGTATAACAGATACAGATTATTCTTGTTTGAAGGATATGAATGACAGATGATCTGAGGTGTTAATTATCTTGTCAAAAGGATAATTAAAAGAAATGAAAACATGCTTATAATTAAAGGCGCTTCTTGCCCCTTTCGGGTCTTTTACGACGCAGTACTAGAAATAAATATACTGTACAGTAAATGTTTATAAAAATTACGTGTACAAGACATTAAATGTAAATGTTTTATATTTTAAATGTACAGTTATTGTACACAAATTGTATTTGTATAAAGTGTCAAGCTAATTTTCACATGTTTGATTGTCATTTAAACTTTAATTGTAATACAGTGATAACTAGAAAACTGTAGAATAGGAGGAAGACATTAAAGTAGTACTAAAGTGCATTTGATGTATATGGACAACATTTGTAATAGAATAATGTAAATATATTCACCGTCACCTACCAGAATTGTACAGCCTATATACGGTACATTTTAAGCGTAGGTACAGGGGGGTCAATTTGACCCCCCCCCCCAGCAGGAATAGGGTTAAAACATGCTTGGATTTTTAGTTCCGGTAACCCAGTTAGTAACTCCATGGTACAAGGAGTATGGAATTGAATGGAGAACGGATCGACCCGGCCCGCCCTATACCAGTACCATATGATTTATACATGCTTTAAAGACGGTTCTTCATTTGAAAAGAGTTTTCAAAGGTCGTCTTTTATTTCTTTAATTTTTTTTTTACCAAACCATATCAAATAAAACCGATTTTTTATATGATACAAAAATACGTATGTATTGCCAATATTTTTGCATCCCAAAATATGTGTTTGTTTGACGTTATTCAGCCTACTTTTTTCCCTGTGTAATATGTAAAATAACCTATTCTGAATACATGCACACGGTATGTGTACATCAGACAGTTAAGGAAAGTTTATATTTCTTATTCAAATGGAGTACCGTCTGCAATGCATGAATAATCATATAATAGGGCGGGCCGGGTGGATCCTTTCTCCATTATATTCCATACTCCTTGCTCTGGTATCGTGACTCCACCCTAAACAGGACCTGTGATTCTGCGTGAGCACATTTTGAATGTACAATATGTTTAAAGGGAATGTCTGGCTAGACATAGTAGTTGAGCTGAGAGTGCGGTATTGTACAGAAATTTAAGACCTAAAAGATGTTTGTGTAATTGTCAAGTATAAGAGCGCTAAATATTTCTTTAAATCCCTATGGCGCTCTCCCTCAAGCAGGTTGTTACGCGCACTCTCAGCTAAACTACCATGTCTAGCCAGACATGCACCCACCAACGTGGTTTAAAGTTGTACAGTACCTGAATTGCAATCCTGTTGTGTACATCTGTACAAGAAATCCACAGATAGTTATAACCCAACCCCATCCTCCCTAAACATTTTAGAATATAGTTTTGAACAGCACACTATCATAATCATAACTTGAGCCAACTTCCACAGTTTTCTGGTTCTCATTGGACTATAAATGTATTTCAGCTAAAAATTTAATCTGAACATTGCAATTTAAATTCAAAACAAATATTTTGATGATTCTTCAAAAATATCAAGTTAAAACTCAAACCCGGCCCCGGGTAATAATGTTAAAACTCAACTCCGGGTAATAATGTTAAAACTCAACTCCGGGTAATAATGTTAAAACTCAACTCCGGGTAATAATGTTAAAACTCACCTCCGGGTAATAATGTTGACGGAATGTTGCGACCTTTCCATTATATCCCTTCAGGGCTGAAAAGAAAAATTACTTATTACAAATTTTGAATTTTATATATTTTATGATTTAAATATGAATGGCTTACACCAACAGGTTGCAAATTACAATTGCATTACAAATACAATAACGTTACAATTACAATTGCATTACAATTTAATTGCGTTACAATTTAATTGCGTTACAATGACTCAAAGAAGATCGTAGTAAGATTTCGATTCTACTGGAGACCACCGGAGGGATTTTATTTTCACTGGAGGGGTTTGAAAAAATGCTTTTTACAATTTAAAACTTTACGCAGGGTGATTTACATTCCACTGGAGGGATTCTGATGTCCTTCCTGGGGGGTTATAATTCCACTGGAGGAATTCAGTTATCCTTCCTAAGGGTTTATAATTCCACTGGAGGGATTCAGATATCCTTCTTAGGGGTTTATAATTCCACTGGAGGGATTCAGATATCCTTCCCGGGGGGTTATAATTCCACTGGAGGGAATCAGATATCCTTCCCGGGGGTTTATAATTCCACTGGAGGGATTCAGTTATCCTTTCAAGGGGTTTATAATTCCACTGGAGGGATTCAGATATCCTTCCTGGGGGTTTATAAACTGAATCCCTCCAGTGGAATTATAACCCCCCAGGAAGGACATCTGACCCCCTCCAGTGGAATGTAAATATCACCCTGCGTAAAGTTTTGAATTGTAAAAAGCATTTTTTCAAACCCCTCCAGTGAAAAAGAATTCCCTCCGGTGGTCTCCAGTGGAGTCAAAATCTTACTACGAACTTCCGTGACTCGTTTAAAATCTAATTATGAAATGATTTTATTCTGATTTATACTATTATTAACAAACAATATGGATATTTTCAACCAAACAATTCTGCTCTTTATTCTAAGAATTTATATAGGTGAAGGGTATCCAGCTTCTCCTGCATACCAAACTTTCTCTATTTAAGTCAACCTACTTGATTTATAATTTTGAAACCATACTAAGAACATTCCCGTGGGTCTACCGAGTTCCCCAATTAAAATTTGAGGCAAATCGGTTTAAGTGTTCACAAATTATGATCCTGCATACAAACACCCTAACAGTGATTACTTCTGTTTAGGGTGTAAATTGCGAAAAAAAAACAATGTAATTTGTCAAAGCCTTTAATGTTTATGTAACCCATGTACGTATTGTAAATTTTCAAATTTGGCTTTTAAACGTTTTCTTAGTTACAATAAAAGTTTATATTCTAAAAGAAAGAGAAAAAAATAACTGATCGTTTTACTAGGTAAATTGTTTATCATGTATATGACACCCCTTCAACCCAGCAAATTTAAAAACTAGATTAAATTATGTTTTGACTCCCACGGGTTTCATTTCATAAAATGAAATTGGGTTTCCAACAATGGAGAATTTGTCTTGGGATTTTTTTTAATATTTTTGTTACATCGTATTAAACTTGCTCTTTATCATATACTGTTATATTATGTTTATTATTTTTTCCTATTTGAGAATAGCTATGATGAGGGTTAGAAAAAAAGTTTATATTAACAATAGCGCAATGATAAAAGAGGACATTGTTCTTAGCATTTAGTATAAAATAAACAGTAGGGTTGTCGCTGTAAATATCTTTAAAAAAACATTTTAAACGGAAATGCATTCGAGACATTTATTTTAATTCTCTCATTCTTTTCGCGCCCAAAACTGCAGTTCTGTATTCGCTGACTGTGCGAAATTTAATCTTGCATTTGCAGTTTATTTGTTGAACCCTGATCCCTCACAAACTAGTCCTCCCCCCCCATCCTTCTCAGCAATAAATTGATTTTTAACCCAACAAATAGTTTTTAAATACTTGTGCACTGTGCAGCATTTTTTAACACCCCAGCTAAAGTGGGGTTAATTGGAAGGTGTACAAAGAATAAAAGAAGTAAAGTCAGATTCGTAAAGTCTAATCCCACATTCTCTAGCACTGACTTTTATAGATAAATCAAAAACAAAAACAAGCACTTTCGATGAACAAAATAGTATAACTCCATCATTTTTACTTTATTAGAAGTTGTTCTGCAGATACTCTTGTCTAACAAACAGGTTTATCTTTAAATACAGGGTCACAGGGAAAATACGTAGACAGTCCCTTTAAAGATTACCTGGAATATGTTTATTCATAGAGTTGAGTTCTCTCTCGTTTATACCAAGCTGACCGTCAGATACCTCCTCCTCATACTTAGAACTACGCAGCAGCTTTCCTGGGGGTAATAACTTTCTCCTCTTTATCTAAAAACCACTTAAAAAAACTAATTATAGTATTAAATATTAGATAATGTACCCTATTCTTTCCTTTTCTCCGTAAATTTGCAGAAATTCGCAAGATTGTCTTCAAATGAATCACTGGTTGCTAAATTATTGCCAAAATGTCTGGAATTCTAGATAATAGCTTGCAAATCCATTTACGATAATTAAATTCTTTCTCGTAAATATTACAATGTTAAAAAATTACTCATACTGCCCCCCTTCAGGGGTATTCTTAAAATACTAAATTTTAAGAACTACAGGGTGTCCCACGAAACATTACAAGTCGGCCTGAAGAAATTCTTTGATCTTTAAATAGTTTAAGGCATTTTTCTAGAGTTAATAGTCACGAAATAACCCTAGTCCTAGCATTTCCAAAATGTGCAGGTCTGTCGAAGATATGATTAATTTTGTTCCGATTTCGACAAGTTTGGTTTTATTTTAAGAAATCGAAATCTGAACGAAATTCTTTATATCTTTGGTAATATTAACAGCACAAAAAAGAAAGACCACATTATGTGTCTCAAATAAATGCAAAGATTAATGCTATTGCTAGTGTCATGTTTTGTTGGACACAATGTATTTAAATCTGTTTAACCTGATATGAATTTGTACTGTTGTTTCTAAAGAGAGAGTTCCTCGAAGCTGGTCTGAAAACAAATATTACTTTATTAAGAACTAACTGAAGATCCCGGCGTTGCCCGTTACCCATGAGTGTCCTCAAAAAATTTCAGCCCAATTGGTCCAGCCGTTTGACCGGCTATGCGCAACATCTATACGAATGTCTTGTTTTATTATATAGATAAATATATAACTTCTTTAACATCCTTATTTCTAAATATTCAGGTAAGAAAAACTATTATTATTTTAGAATTGCAAGAATTGGCCACCAATTCGAAAAAAACAACATTAAAAACAATTCCAAAAGGTGAAGATACATTCGTTTTAATCTTTAATTTCTCAGAATATCAGATCTGTTATAACAGGAAATAGGTTTCATCAAACATGTTATTTAATTACACTTTTTAATTGCAAAAAATTAGAATTATCAATATAAAAAACTAAAAACTATTCTGCAAAAAGAAGAAAAATTTGTTCCTTTTCAAAATAGGAAAATTAGCTCATTGTTTAGACTTCGAAAAATATTAAGAATCACATATTATGTTAGTTTTTTTTTTCATTTTCGAAAGAATTCGTGGAATCCTACAGCACTGAGAGAAGCTTACCTGGCAGGCCCAACGGAGTCACTGAGAGTTAAACTATCAGACATTGAGTTGTTAGCTGTCGTCTTGGGACGATCTGACCAAATTTCTCACATTATAAGGCTGTTAGAAAAAACGTTTAATTTTTTTTAAAAAGCAACCTAGGCTATGATGTTTCAAACTAAAATTTTTGCCAGATCAAATATTTGAAGAGTTTGAAATAATAAAGGTCCAGTACACAACGTAATAGAGATTAGAAAATTATAATCTTGATAGAGAAACCAAGAGAAATCAAATCAGAATTACTCAGTTGCTTCACATTAAACCCTATACTGCTGGTATGTATTTATAGGTTAAGAGTACCTTTCTAAAAAGGTTAAAATATGTTGTTTCTACCTCTTTTAAACGCTTTAAATAATTCATTTCTGTTCAAAATACTTTGTCCCCTTTAGGTAAATATACGTTAAGGGCGTTTCTTGGATTTCACAATTTAAAGAAGTTTTTGCAAACAAATATGGCACATTGTTTGCGCACATAGGATTTGCAAGGGGTCGTTTTGACTCCCATTCACCGTATCTATATACGGTTTAATACCCTATTAGGTTTAACAAAAAAGCTGATTTTTCCCTTTTAAATAACAAGAGAAAAATAAAGTAAACTTTTAAAGTTACAAAAATATATCAAAAGCTATTTAAAATACAAGAATTTGAGAATGCCAGGAATGCTTTTTATCTCATGCCTTATTTCAAAGACGTTTACTTTACAATAAACAAATGCTTGAATTTCATTTTGTTGTAATATAAATAGTAATTGGTGGAACTTATTTGAAAGCATAGATTAAAAATAGTAAATTATCAAAGCCAAAAACATATATTTACAATAGTTTTCTCAATTAAACAATGCTTGTAAGGAGATAGTTGTGAATCGCAGACCCTTTTTTAATTACATGACATTTTAATATTATTGTATTACGTTACATGCTAATATAATATTAAAACTTTGCAAACATTTAGCGGCCAAAAAAAAAATCTTTTTTGAAATTAAATCCTAAATTTTGGCACTAAAAAGTCTCTGGAAATAAAGTCCTACAATTTTGATACTTTATTTTCTAGAACTTTATTCTGGTTCTTTAATGCATGTGATATTATTTCCTGAGACTTTTTGGCAGCCCCAATATTATTTTAGGAAAAAAGTCCCAGGAGTCTAAAACTGAGGACTGTATTTCCAGTGAAATTCTGTCCTAGGACTTCAGAAAATCGGGACTTTTTTACCATTGTTTTTACTTCCAGATTTTTTCAGAAACTTTTTCCGGTGACTTTCTTACATAGATTCTTGCAAACTATGTATCTAAACTTTCATTTTCACAATATTACATTTTCACAATATTACATTTTCACAATATTGCATTTTCACAATATTACATTTTCACAATATTGCATTTTCACATTATTACATTTCACATATTTTTAAAAATCCCCGAAAATGTTTCTCTTCAAGAATTCAATTTAAATTAAACTTAAATTTAGAATTTCTCGGAAACTGATAAAAATTCCGCCCAATCAAGATAAAATTGATCTGAGCCGTCTAGCGTTAACACCTTAATTATTCTAAATTATTTAAATATGACTTCATTCAACTTAATTAGTATTAAAGAACATTTTTTATGGCTCAAATCAATAAAAAGCATTAATGTTATAGTGTGGTTGCAGTGTTGTTGCAGTGTTGTTGCAGTGTGGTTGCAGTGTGGTTGCAATGTTGTTAAGTGTGGTATCGGTGTGTTTGCAGTGTGTTTTAAGTGTGGTATCAGTGTGGTTGCAGTGTGGTTTCAATGTCGTTGCAGTGTGGTTGCAGAGTGCTTTAAGTGTGGTTGTAGTGTGGTTGCAGTGTGGTTTCAGTGTGGTTGTATGGGAGTTTCAGTGTGGTTTCGTGTGGTTACAGTATTGTTGCAGTGTGGATTAAGTGTGGTTGCAGTTTAGTTTAAGTGCAGTAGCAGTGTGGTTTCAGTGTGGTTGCAGTTTGGTTACTGTGTCGTTGCAGTGTGGTTGCAGTGTGGTTGCAGTTTGGTTGCATGAATGGTTGCAGTGTGGTTGCAGTGTGGTTACAGTGTGGTTGCAGTGTGGTTGCAGTGTGGTTGCAGTGTGGTTGCAGTATGGTTGCAGTGTAGTTGCATGAATGGTTGCAGTATAGTCCCAGAGTGTTTAAACATCTCTGATGAAGTTATTCTTCCTTTTTCCTCTGAGAGACATTTCTCAAGACTAAGATAACCATTACGAGAATACTTATTAATATTAATGCTACTTCAGTATTATATGAAAACATGTAAACAATCACTTTATCTGAATATCTAAATAAAACTGAGCTAAATGTTCACTGAAACTGAGACTTCTTTTAAAGGGAGTGGCCGGCAATGTATGGTAGTTGAACTGAGGTTGTAATATTGTGGAGCAATTTTTTGGGATTCATTTGAGAAATATTAAACGTTTTACTGGTTTCTGTAATCTCTCATTGTTCACAAACATTTTCTGTAGATTTTCTGGAATTTATATAAATCTGCGAACAAATTCATACAGAAAGAAATAATTGATTCTAGCGTTGATGTATGGACAAATTTCTAATAAGAAATATGTGCTTAAACATCTTACTAGTTTACTGTAGAATTTTTGAAACGTTTTTCGTCGTCGTTATTTAATAATTTAAAAAAAAAAAAGATTCTCAAAACGTATATTCACCAAAATGGATGATTTTGAAACGTAGATTTTGCGCTCAAACTCAGTAATTATGCATCATTAAAACGTTTTATATGTCACAAATTAATTCTAAATTTTTTTCCCACAATACTATGTTCTAAGTTCAACTAACATAAATTGCCGGTCACTCCCTTTAAGCCTCTCGTTCATATTTAGTCGTTTGGAACAAATTGCAGAGTATGGGCTTTTAGACAGTCAGTCATGTATAATATTTATTCTGTGTTATTTTCATACAGTTCGTATACTTTTTATATGCATACATACTTCGCAGAGATCCAGACAGCATTGAATATATGATGCATAGACCGGGTCGACTTTGAAGTGTTGCAATGCCTTGCCCTTTACTTGTAAGTTATCTTTTTTGTGTAGACCTAGACATTTACATTTTAGAATTGCAACGTGCTTGTTTTTCGCTAACTTCAGTTTAAAATAAGCTTATGGTGGCAAATCTAGATAGATTTATGATAAAGAGCAGGTGCACATTTTGGTTTTATAGTTTTTGCACTTTCTTAAATAAATACTTTCTTCAAATAAACTTTATTAGAGTACTTCTAAACTAGTATAATATTTACTTTTACAGTTTTTTGAACTTTTATACTTTGTTATATAATTTATACTACTTTTTCACTATTACTACTATACAGTATATTTTTACATATTTATATACACAGTTAAATACTTTTTTTACACTTCTTTTGACATAGACTTTTTACTTTTTTATGCACTTATTTATACTACACTTTTACACCAGTATATCATATTTATATATTTTAATAGCTGTAAACATTTCTTTTCTAAATAGCTATTAAGTTTAAATAATTTTCAGTCGCATTTGAAAAAAAAAATCTTTAGGATTTGCCTTATTGCAAAGTCGTCCAAGTAATTCTACATAAATTCTACATGTTAAAATTGTTTATAAAAGTTTGCTTGATAAAAAATAAATTAGACATCTAAGAGTACTTGATACAAGCAACACAGAGCAACTTATTTCTACAAATTTAGCCAATTTAGATATAATCTAGTTCACTTTTGACATTTTGTCCAATTCTAGGATAAAAGTAAAATAAAAGAATTTGAAAAAATGTGAAAATTGCCTAGGCGTAATCTCCGAAGAAAAAATTTATCCGTCATTTTGTTCGACATTTTTCACTTTTTAAAATATTATTATCACTTTTCAAACACAAGTGTCAGTGTAACTTTAATACTTAACTCCAGAGATAATAAAAACTTAGTGATTTAGTTTGATTAATTAGCCATTTGCATTTTAATTCCTTGTATCAGTTAACCGGTTAAAACCTAACTGAGAACCCGCAAAGTTTCCAAAAACTGTGTTTAAAATGTGTATCCGAGAATCTAGCCTCACACTCCGTTGAGTCGTCTAGCCACGGTAAAGCTAGTCTCTACGCGGGTCCGTCTGGAAAATCTTGCGGCATTTCACAGATCATTTCCCGCTTTTTTTTAACCAGGATCTTTAAGTCGGGAATGAGCCTGGGGTAAAAAAGACAGCGGACTAGGTCGGGCCGGTACAAGTAGAATTTAGGCTTGGCTGCAGCCTCTAGCTAGACACGTCTTTATTTAACCCTGTACTTCTTTCAGGATTTTGGTAAATCAGTTATTACGCAGACCTAATATATAAAAAAAGATTGACTTTTAAAGCAACTGTCTGAGTCCACAAACATATTGCCATAATACTTTAAGTTTTTCAAAATTAAATCTCTATTAATCCCCGCATTTTTTTTGCATTCGCATAATTTCTGTGATTATGCAACTGAAAAAAAAAATTTGCAAAGAAATACCTTTTACTTTTTTATCATCTTTCCTCGTTTTCTCACTCAAATGAATTTTTTCTATTTTTGAATTGAAGTTTCATTTACCTTTTTTTCATTTTAAATACATTTGATATGAAATGTTTTTTGCATCACCCTGTGGCTGTACTTATATAAAAGTATAGTGTATTCATTGATAATGTATATATACTATCAGTAATTTATACTTTGATTACATTACTACAGTATTCTCTTTCTTCTATAATATGTAATTTCATGAAAGGATTGCTTTATTACTTTATCTCTTTTTATCCATTTCTTTAATCCTATACAGTGTACACAGAACGAACATTAATTATCTTCTATATTATACAACTTAAGCTGTATCCGGTTAAACTGTATCCGGTTAAAACTGTATCCGGTTAAAACTGTATCCGGTTAAAACTGTATCCGGTTAAAACTGTATCCGGTTAAAACTGTATCCGGTTAAAACTGTATCCAGTTAAACTGTATCCGGTTAAAACTTGCTTTTATTAAACTTTGCAATATTTTTATCCAAAAAAAGATAATTTAAAAACAAACCAGAAAACGATCGTTTAAACATATTTGTTTTAGGAAATTGGCTAATGAAAAGCTCTTGGAATATAAATTTTTTAAACTTTAGTTTTTAGTAAAATTGTTTAAATCCTTTATTCAAGGGGGGGTTGATGGATGAATGTTTCATGGTTTATTCTAAATACTGGCAAGAAATCTCTAATTCCGGTTTTAAATGATGGAGATCTCTGATGCTGGGGGGGGGGGGGTCATAAATTATATTAATATATCGTTTATCACTTATCTGTCTCTTTTTATCTGTTTGTCTTGTTCCAAGAGAATGGTTCCTTCTAACCTTTTATATCAAGGAGAGAAAACAATATTTCATATTTTTACACGTCTTTCGTTTTGTTATCTAATAAACGCGGTGCAATTTTTTTAGCGGCAGCTTGGTTGCCGTTGCGGAAGGGAAGGTTTATGTCAACGTTCAATATTTTTGAAAATGAGCAAATTTAAACAGACAAATCTGCGGAATACAATTTACAAAAAAGAGGTTAATACTAGATAGTTTGAGTAGCAGTGGTTATCACCTAAAGTTGTTAATAGCAAAAGGGTATGAGGGCCATGAAATCCATTGTATGTGTGAATATTTATCAGCAATTGGGAACCCAGCCTTGCCGGGAAATGAAAATGTTTTTATACAAAGCTACTGCAAAGAACATTATCAGGGTTCTGTAGAGTTCTCCATACTAAAAATTTGAGATATTTAAAAAAAATCTAGTTTTAGTTTAACCCCCCTGACTGTGAATATTTAAAGTTGTCAGTTAATGACTTCATGGTGTGCATTGGGACAGGGGCATTTAAGTAATATTGAATACAGGGTTTACTAAGTGAAATAAAAATATGATTTAGAAACTTTTCATTGAACAACCTAACTTTCTTGACATTTGACACCCCTGAGACAAGTAGACCCTCCCCCCCCCTCCCCTCCCCTAAATACCCCTGAAATACGTGAGCCTGATTAATATGCTTGTATGTGGCCTAGAATATAATGAATACCCTCTTTGATAGGTTTATATAGGCTAGGGGGGAACACTGTGTCTGATATCCATATCAATATTATTCATTCATCTCTTATAATTCATCAATTCATCCATTCATCCTCATTCGGGACCCCCTCAAGCTATTCATTATTTTTACATCCTGACGACGCGAATAATCCAACATTGATCATTACATCACTATTAAAGGGACTGTAAGCGTAATTTTAAGTGACTCCAAGCAATGCATAGATGGCAATGCACGATTTACAACGGTAGCCTTGAAACCGTAATCTGATCAAAAATTTTGAAGATACCCTCGTTTTTCTAACGCGAAAAGTGTTTATTTTTGATAGTTTCTT